AAGATCTAACCCATCTTGACTAATCGGCACTAGTATATCCAATAATGTTCTCCTCATCCTCATACCGCCTAGTTGATTCCAAGTGACAGCCAAGTATTTATCAAAGAGAAACACCGAGCATTACATCTTGATGACTGTGTTAATCCAACGTGAGTACCAAACGGAGGAAGCACCCTTCAAAAAGCAGCGGCAACATTAAGCATGACATGCCTTTTCCGAACCGTGCAAACCAACTGTTTTAAAAAGGAATTGCATATTCCTGGCTCCCTCTTGGGAAGCAACCCTCGATATATTCCCGGTTTCCCGCCAATTCACATCATATTATCCGGCTATCTGTTTGATCACGTAACATGTTTCTCCTCAAGTGTGCGGCGGGGCTTTCGGATTCTTCACTTTCATCCTCGTCGATGGTTGTAAAGTGGGAACATCAAATGTCTTGGAAGAGAGTGGGCGAATGAACCGCATCCGTACCTCCTGGCGGCATCAGAAGGAGAATGGTCAGAAGCTGAGATGAGCACGAGGAGGGAAAATCAGTTCCAACCCCTAATCTGCGCGCACTCACAAAGAACGCATTTGCGAGATAATAGAATAATATTTGTTCAGCATTTAAATTAAAAGGGAATACAGCACGCGTTTACTTTTTCTCCCCTCGTAAGAGCATTGCTGGAGGGAAAACGCCACCCTGCATGAGCGTTGCTCTTTGATGTGTTTATTGCTAAATGGTGCTGTTGATGCGTGTTTGTGTGCATCCCTGTCGGTCGTCGGTTGGCCTTCGGGCGTCAGCAGATCAGCTTTGGGCTCTCCCACGACTCCGTTGCTCTGTGGAAAACGACATCTTGCAAGTTATTTTCCTTAGGAAAGCGAAATCCTACACCGAACAAATAGTTCCGGGCCAGGGGAGCTGCCAGCGGGGGAAGAGCAAAAAGGACTAAATCGCATGCATTACGACAGCCGGATTTTATAAATAAAAGATGATTCAAATATTTGTGCACCCCGCGCGTCGCTCGAAAAGCATGAAGGGAGGAGCGATGAGCTGGGATCGCCGAGATTTGGAATCTGCGAATTGACGACGGGATTCTTTAATCTATTTGCTAGACGGCAGTGTGGCGACTGACGGCCGGAGACGCAGTGATTTTTGTTTCATTAGACTTTTTGATGTAATGAAAGCAAATAGGATGCAGAGCGAGGAAAGGAAACCACTAGGGAAATGGCTTGTTTGTGCTTCATCAAAGCTTAAATGGCATTTTTGTATGGTAAATAGGCTTAAATCACTGGCAGGGGTGATTTCGTGAGAGATCTTCTTCAAAATGATTAATCAAGGAAATTATGCAAGCTGAGAAGAAGTCATAAAGAAAAACATAATTTTATTTAAATCAGATGGATGTATGCTAAGTGACCCGGTTGGTATTCTCATCGTACTACTTTTAGTGATACCATACATTATTTACCATTAGGGGCCTCCCTTAGCTCAGTCGGTAAAGGCGTATCTACAGAGCAAGACCATGCTGGAGGTGGGTGGGTTCGATTCCCGGTCCGGTCTAGGAATTTTTCGGGTTGGAAAATTTCTCGACTACTGGGCATAAAGTATGAAATGTGCTTACCACACAATTGTATTAACGCAACTATGATACAGGCATCGAAAGTTCTCAATTAATAACTGTGGAAGTGCATCTAGAACACTAAGTTGAGAGCACGCAATAAGCTAATATGCGATATGCAATAAGCTTGAAATGCGAAGAAGAAGAAAACAAATATTCTCACCAAGGCCAAAGTCACTTTCAATCGGAAATCGTCAAGCGACGACGAAGCTGTCAACCATTCCTTTCAATTGAAAGTCATTCTGTCTTCTCTTTGAGCAGATCCCCTTCAACATAAACAGAACCATTTTCGATCAGTTTTCGTCCAGTTTGCTTTGACTGGAATCGTGTTCATTTCGTCTTTCATTGTCAAATGAACTTCAAGCAATAGTCAAGTCATGTTTCACAGGAGGAATGTTCACCCTGACTCGATAACAAGAAACACAATGACTTACACGAAAATTATACTGCTCGAAGTGAAGCGATTCTGCAAAGACTTCATTTTCTTTTCTTTGTTTCGAAAATGCAGAACCCTGATTCTAGCCTGTTTAATCACTCACCTAATTAAGTATCCACATGTCAAATGAGATCAAAAAAGTCATTTTCTACTTTCTCATCATTTATGTGTGTCACACTCACAACTTTTACTTTTACTTTTACGTACTACCAGGCATGGAAAATCGTTTACATTCATTTCATGCATTCATTTACATTCATTTGCCTCTAACTTTTTTCATCAAAAGCATTCCGCAAAATGATGTGAGGAACTTTTGTAGGTTTTGTTATTAACTACAACTTTTGCCTGCAATTCAAATCTGTAGCTCTTATGCATCACGAATTAGAGCGGGCAGAATTTGCTTCTGTTTTTCAGTGAATGTAAAATACATTAACTGAAAAACAGTAGTGGATTCTGTTTGCTCTGATTCGTCATGCATAAGAGATACGGATTTGAGTTGTTGACAAAAGTAGTAGCTAATAACAAAACCTACAAAAGCTCCATACATCTTTTTGCGGAATTCTGTTGATGAGAAAAGTTAGGGACAAATGAATGTAAATCAATGCACGAAATGAATGCAAATGATTTTCCATGCCTGCGTACTACACAATTCATTTCTAAATGATATCAATCATCACAATTAATTACTATTATGTCAAAACAAGATAGCTTATGTAACGTAATATCAACTTGACTGAACTTGGCGTTAATCTGCACCAACTCTCCTATGATCTGTTATATTTGAAACATTTTTGTGCCATTTTAAAAAATGGAAGGATTTAAATGATCGATTCAAAAAGATCGATTCAAAATGGTTGATTAAATCGGTGAATCGATTATTTCAAAAAAAAATGAATCGATTCAAAAGATCGATTCCTGCCTCAAGATCGCTAAATGCTAGTACAGATCGTTGAATCATAGTTTTTTTTTAAAGCTTGTTTTCCAAAATTCACGCGAGTAAGATTTACGATCAATTAAATGCTGTTAAACAAATTATATGACTTTATACAAGCAGTCATATATAGGGGCAGGACCTGGGTTTAAGGGGCACAAATATTGAGATATTAGGTTTTTTTTTTAATTTTTTTAGAACTTTAGAATAAGTACAACCACTTCGGGTTTTCAGTATATTATTAGGCAACGTTTCAGCATTATTTTCCATAAAATATTGTTTTCCTCTGTTAGCAGGGATGTTTTTGTCACTTGCGGAACAGCATTGTCAGCACTAATAGCGCTTTGAAATCACCATTAAAATATTCAAAATTCGCAAAATTATTTAAATGGTGGCGTTCGCAAAAAAAGTTCGACTTTTCGTTGAAAAAATCGCTACTCAAATAAATGTTAAAAACCTAAAAGTTGAAATTTCAAAAAATCCTATGTTAGACTTAAGATAATTCATTTTTACATCGCGGACAGAACAATCAGCTAAATTTATCGAATAGTCTCTGAGATCCCTGTCACGCAAGGTAAAAAAAATGTGGTTTCGATAAAAACGCGTTGAAAGATTTTGTTATATTTAAGTGTGTTTAACAAAAGGCTAACCGAGTCGTAACGGCTTTGTGTTTTGAATTAGCATTTTAACACAACAATCTTGAAGGTATAAGGATGCCGATAATAAAAAAAAAAAAACGATTTTTTGAAACCCACCAACATGTCCCCCTCCCCCCTTAAAACCCTTGATCTTCAGCTCAGTAAGCAGAATCGGTCACCACCACCTCCTTACATCATAACAAACCATTACCGATGTTTTGCAGTTAGAATCGAATATTTTTCTTCCTCTCGTACAAGTTTGTCTAACTTTTTTCATAAATTTGATCACAAATCTTTCAAAAGCCGTTCAAAGACTTCGTTCAAAAGCTTTTCTGAGTTCGTTGGTAAATTCTCTTAACTCTATAATTTTCGACTTGATTCTCCCAACTCTTCCGGATAGTTCCGACTTCCTTTAGAAGTTAATTTTGACTGCCCGTCAAAAAATACAATTTAATTTAGAATTAAATTTATAAAAATATGTTGCATCAAATCTAGCTGTCTTCATCAAACTGGGAAAAATATAACTGTCCACCAGGAATTTAAATTAATAAATGCAGTAACCACCCTGGTCTGCACAAACTAATTACATACAATTTATGATTTTTACGCCAAAATATTGTGATAGTGATCGACCCCACAGGCTTTATCACCAAAATAGGCTCACTTCACTTAATTATCAGAAAAGATTTTAGCTTGTTCCAAAGTAGTCTGTCTGTTGTACCCAAATAGGGAGCGAAGACTACATATCAAAAAGACTGGCAACTCTTCCATTTTCTCATACGACCGCTATAAGGCCGGCACAGTCGCGTCATCTACCGTGCAAAGGTTAATGCTTCGAACGAATTTGATAGCAAATATTACAACCTCAGAAGAAATGTGTATTTACTCATTTCTCTATGCATTACTTCCACCTTCGCCCCAGCGAAGCGCTACTGTATCTGTCGCTTGGATTCTGGCAGAGTTGCCAGTCTTCTTGATTTGATGTCTTCGTAGGGAGTTAGCTTGTTATGGCCTCATATATTTAAATTCTTATCAGGCAAGACCTAAGTTTTCAGAATATTACCCAAAGTGTGTCCAATACCTCTGCAAATCCGTTTCCTTCGTAACGAACAAATTCTTAGTGTGTTACCAGCATTGAAGGTGTGCGTTCGTTACTGAGATATAACAATTTTGTGAGATTCATCAAAAATTTAGTACGAGGAACGGTCATTTTAAATTTTACAAATTTTGCAGCTGTTTAAAAATACGGTGCAATTTTTTTTTTTTTTTTTTTTTTTTTTTTTTTTTTTTTTTTTTCTGCTTATGTTGGTTATTGAAGCAAGCTTGCAAATTTGCTTTCCTTAACATGACAAAATAGAAAGGTGTGCTTTATTCACTTGTACGTCAACTTAGATGGATGAAAAGTGCGTCTTTTACGTCCGGTAGCAAAGAGTAGAGATGTTACACTTACTTTTGGGTCCTCCAGGTCCCCCGCGTCCACCTCGGAAGCCACCTCGGGCCGGTCCACGCATGCCACCACGTCCACCCATCGGACCACCCATTCCCATGTTGTCGGGTTTGGAAGTAGCTTTCTTAACGTCCACCTCCTTACCGGAGATGGTTTGCTTTGGCGTTTTGAGCAGTTCGTTCACCACCTGCTCCGAGTCGAAGGTGATGAAGCAGAAGCCCTTGCGCTGATTCTTCTGCTTGTCGAGTGGCATCTCGACTTCGACGATATTGCCAAACTGTCTGAAGAAGGTCTTGATCTCTTCATCACTGATCTCCGTGGTCAGTCCACCGACGAAAATTTTGCCGTGACGGGCCTTGGCCTTCTTTGGGTCGACCTTCTTGTTGTTGATGACGTGATCGCCGGTGGCGACGACCTTATCGATCGAGTCGGCATTCTTGTACACGATGAAGGCGAATCCTCGCGAGCGACCCGTGTTGGGATCTGTCTTGACGTTTATGCTCTCGATTTCGCCATACTGGCCAAAGTGTTCCTTCAGTTCCTTGTCTGATGTTTCCCAACTAAGTCCACCAACGAATAATTTTCTGTCGTCATCACGAACCGACGAGCCCTCGGCTCCGTTCTCCTTCTGGTCTCCGTTGTGGTCCTGCTGGTCTTGACCGTTTCCGTTCATCTCTTGATCCTGATCGGCCATTTTACTTTTTTCTGCCTTAACACTTAACTCGGTTACACTTTCTACTAGGTACTAAGAGCCCCGAACGCGGTTAATTCCGTAAAATAAACTGCTCCTCACTTCCACGGGATGCAAGTTTAAAATTTGCAAGGAAAAAGTTGCTTTTTCATTCAAACTAGAGATCCTAAAATCACTATTAAATTTAGAAACGCGATTTCTCAGCGAGTAGCGTGTGATCGCGTCTTGCTCCAGCGATGAACCCGAAGAGAAAGAATACTGCGCAATTTTACTGACTTTAGTGATCTGAATTCAGTGTGTAGGATTTGGATAAAAAATTAATTTAATATATTAATGAAATATGAAATTTGGTATGTCATGCTTTAAAAATTTAATGATCCTAGATCTTCAAGATTCAGAGAGTTTTATTTTGCAATCTTCTGGACATCGAGAAATTCCCGAGATTCTGGAACATAACAATTATTCAAGTTAGTAGTAATTTCGTTCAACGAAAATATCAAGATTTTAAATAATAAATAAATAATTTATTTTTATTTTATTTTTATTTTTTATTTGGCAAGAACATTGGTGATTGAAGTGTTTGTTTACAAAAGCAATTACACCCAAATCTCAATTCACTCAGGAAGTAACAACAAGCTGAACGGGAACTTGATCGTAATTGCTTTTTGATATACGGAGCTCGGTGGCCTAGCAGCGACCGATTTTTCTCACTGAGCAGAAAATCATGGGCTCCATCCCAAGCTCGTTCACATCATAGAGTTATGTTTTAAATCGGCATTCTTTCACAATATGATATAAAATGTAATGAGATTCGGATGGTGGGACGGGTACATGAAATAAGAAATAATTGAGTGTAAGGACACACTTGTTGTTCGAAAATCCCTATCAAATCCATCTAATAGCAGTTGTTGTCATGGTCGGTGGAGTCGCCACTGGGATCGAAATCTAATAAAAGCAAGTCGAACGGGAACTTATTCTTATCGTTTTTAATATAAGGTTCTCAGTGGCCTATTGGCGACCGATTTTGCTTACTGAACAGAAAAATTTCGGTTCAAATCCAAGCTCCTTCGCGCTATTGAATCGTTAAGACATCAATCAGCATATCGTTTTTCAAAATGTAATTATTTTTTCGAAGCGGTGATGTATACCTTAAATCATTAATTTTCTCTGAACTTCTCTGGACATCCCTGACGTTTTCTATGCTTCTCTGAGGTTTCCTGAATATTAATTTTTCCCTGCACTGCACCTTTATCTAGTTTTCAAATCATTCATAGAATTCCACGGATATCCCAACTCCTCAAAAAGTGTGGACTTTCCTGTAGTAACGGGAACTGCCCTTATGATTTCTGAAATTCACCAAAGATCTCTAGATCTAGCTTCTCTGAGGTACTTGGATCTTCTTAAAATTTTCACATTGTTTCTAAAATTCACTCCACATCTCTGAATGTAGTTTGACTTACGTTCAGATCTCTGAACATTCCTGACATTCCAACAACTTCTTAAAAGTATCTGCTACTTTTTTGAATTGCATGATATCGTTTTGAAGTTATTAAGGATTAGGTTAAGTTCCCCATATTTTCAAGATGTAGAACAGCCCTAATGTTCCTGCAGCTTGGTTATTAATCTTCAGTAAAATTCTTAGCATATCCTTTCATTCCTAAGATCTTCAGTAAAGTTCCTACAATTGATACGGATGGGACTCTTATCTTTCGTTTAGTGCAAACTTAAAATTTTGTTTTTATGTTTTTTTTTTCATAAACATGGCACTTTGAAGATTTTTAATATCTTGAAGTAGGCGAAATGGATTTAATGTAGGCCTAAATGTCCCTAATTTGGGCCCATACATAAATAAACCAATCGACTAAATTTTCAATAGCGACCAAAAATATCCATTAGTACCGGCCCAATGACGCGTTCATCTAGATAAAATTGATAAATTGCAGATTTTTAGCGATGGGTCCAATCTTATTTCCAATTTCCCCTAGTAAGGTGTATGTCCCTAACCTCGGTCTAATGTGAAGGCTTCAATTACCTTTTATGCCGTATCTTACGTAATGATTGAGCTACCGTCAATATTTCACTGTGAAAATGTAAGCTTAGAATTGAACACGTTCAGAAGCACTTTTGGTACACTTTCGTTCGAAAACACTTAATTTTTATTCAAAAATAGTTGCAAGTGTTCATGAACATCGCAGCGATTGTTAGAAGTTGACCTTAAAGGTACACACTTGCCACTAATCTCTAGAGCAGAAAAAGCATACGAAGTCAAGTATGAGAGGAAATTATCGCTTCTTGTATGCTTTTAGACTATCCAAATGCAGAAGCATGGAGAGAGGCAGTGGAGAAACCACAGGTATGATAATCGCAAAGATCGTGGTTCGAGTCCTCTCAGTTCGGCAACCTTTTTTTTTCGACTTGATTCATTTCACTCACTAACACACGCCACATTTTTTTTTTTCTTGCATTGAACCGCATGATAAATCCCACATAATTGTAAGCGAATCTTGCATCCCTTGGGTGTGGGCACGACAATTATTTGAGATGTCTAGAGTCTACTAATACAGTCAATATACGTCAATCCATTACAAACCCCAAGCGCTTCACGCACTGGTTATTTCAGTTTCAAGAATGACAGAAGATAGTAACTGAACCACAGTGTGAAACATCAGTTCTGTCAGGATAACTGGCTCTTGCCAGTTTTGGAAATGAAACATTTTCAAAACCACATCCCCTCCTCTCATAATTTAATGAATTTGGCACTTCTGATAAAACGTGAACCATTATATATAGAAAATTGGTCAATAACTTTCGGTAGCCAACAAAAGACCTGTGATTTTTCAATTCAAGTCATTTAGAGTTGTGTCAAATTTCAATTGCCAGCAAACGTTTGATCACATATTTCACCTGGGAAAAAATTGATTGTTTTTTATTAACGTAATTTCCCTTTCAAATCGAGCACAAGTAACTGTCCATTTAAGCTTAATTTGACATTCAAAATAATGCTTCGAGGTACATAAGACAAAACGTTTGCGAGTCAGTCACGAGCGTTCTATTAATCAACTTGAAAATTGATTGCAAATTGACAACGAAAAAAAATAAAATAAAATAAACACCAAAGGCACCATCTGGCCATTTGGCGTTCAATATTCATACGGCTGAAACGTTATCACTCGCAGTCCATACCAGAAATATTCTCCCAGCCCAACGTCGAGCAGCACCGCAAGCCGAGGCAAACATATCACAAAATCGGCACTCAATCAAGCATAAATACTCGCAATCAATTTAACATCACAACAAGCATATTCGTCCCGAGCGTGCGTGCGACCAGAAGAGCTTCCATCCCATCGACGAATGTGTCATCGCATTATTTCGATTCAAGGATTCCTCGAATAGCAAAAAAAAAGTGGATCAACAAACACATAACCACCCGAAATATGCGCCTGTTTTTTTTTCTGCCTAGTGCCATCGTCGAACTCGTCGTCGCACATAGCCAGATCAAGCAGTAGTGAACATCAGGGAGCTCTTTTTTCCATTCAATTGGACCGAAATGGCATTTCACTTTATCAAAGTCGGTTTTTGGCTTTTCTTGGTATCTTCTTTTTTTTTTTTTCGTTGGATTTCATCCGCCGCACCCCACATTATACCGACTATTCAGTTCGATCTGTTCAGGACACTTCATGCGTGAAAATTTCACACTCTCAGCAAGTCTCGAGAGCCGGTCATTGACAATAAGCACCACGAGACCATGGGACCATGAAGACGGTCCCGGGCGAGGAAAATCACTCGTCCACTTCGGGATGCAATTGGGAAAGGTGGAGAGGCGAACATCTTTATGTGCGGAGCTTCGATTGTTGGGCCAGAGAAAATCGCCAAATAAGTGTGTTATTTCTGGAGAATCATCCCGTGATACGGAGAATAAAGATGCCATACGCCATAGAGATTGTTTGGACGTTATTGTGAGGAGGAAGATTCTTCGAATATGGGAGTGGTTACGGGTGAAGATTTGAACTTACCTCACACGACGTCATGCTGACGTTTTTGAGATTCAACCTGAAGACTCGGTCCCTGAAATAAAAAAAAGATGGAAAAATAGAAGTTAGTAACCGAATTCATTAATATATACTTATTGCTCGCTTAAAACTTTCCAGCTAACGCTGAATAAGTTTTATTTGAAATTCGGAAATGCAAGTTCATAACAGCATCCAGACAGGTCACTCAATTCCCAGAGAATAACATGACTTTTCACGCTCAGGAAAAGGTCAACCGTCGATTTCCGCACCGCAGAATGACCGAACAAATTCAGCAGTTCCACAAACAAGTCCAGCTGTGGAACAAGTGTCAAACGTGGGAAGCAGTGTCGGAAATATAATCAAATCTAAAAAAAAGTTTTGCGCTCCCTGTCGCTCGTACTAGGTAGGGGAAATGACGGTTTCGGCACTTCTTTACCTATTATCGTAAATGACGTCCTTGCGCGATGTTTTTTTGAATGAATATGCACCATACTCCGATACTGCATTTACGCCCTGACGATAATAGGTAAAGAAGAGCCGAAGCCGTTATTTCCCCTAGTTCCCATTAGGTCAGGAACTTTTTATCAGTTTTCGTTCTGTAGCAGTTCCACGCGTAATTCTACAGCCCACAGTACTATTTCCTGGTCCCAAGTGGCAAGAATAAGGGATTGTACACAGCAAAAAATAAATTTTAATATCACATCAAAGTGGATGCACTTCAATCGTGTCGAAAATATGGTGTAATGTTACTTGCCAAAAAGGACAAAATTATCATTAATACAGTGCATGAACTGACATTACGCTGCTTTTACTGCATTTATTTGTTGTTGTGGCCATAAAAATTACATGAGATTTTCGACATGATTGAAGTGCATCCTCTTGGATGTAATATTAAAATGTATTTTTTGCTGTGTACCTTCGTCCATGAGGAAGACACTTACTACATGTTGATCATTTCATCGCACGGATACATCTAAACCCAACCGCTTAGCGACGAGAGTCTTGCCAAACATGGTCCATTCTACGTCACCAGCACTTTAGAACTCGACCATCCCTCCATCACTGACGATAACGGTCAAATCATGGCTGGAGGTGTATCGATCTACTATTCCCACGTACTGCAGATGCTCTTCTTCAGTTACGAGCCGGACGCAACTTTATGGCTCCGTTGGCCAACGTAAACCAAGGTGTCAAGTGTGTCAAGTCCTTGACTCAGCCGCTCTGCCAATGGACAGAAATTCCCGGACATCCGGGTCTCATTTGCGCCATGTTGCAGAACCTTAACAATCCCGCCATATTCATGATCAAGCCGGTCGGTTATGTTGCTCAGGAAATCAAAGCGCAGAATGCATAGGCTATCTTAGCATGGACATGGTGGCCATCCGTTATTCGGTGTCCGGTGTGGAAAAGACAACGCTAATTCTGCTCTGTGAGGATGGTAGTCTGCGCATTTATGCAGCTCACCCGGAGAACACCGGTTACTGGTTGTCGCCGGAGATTCAACCAATTGGACACCAATTCCAAACAGGAGCCTGTTCAAAATCTCGCAAGTCGAAAAAATCCAGTAAGCAGAGTAGTGGCGGCCAAGTGACGGGTAAGATCGGCAGCGGATCAGCCCCGACTTCCCGATCGATTTCTTCGAACATTGTACCCTGATGAACGAGGTCGAGTATGAAGGAAACGACCTGTTGCAAATCTACAACACTCAACATCTGAAGCATCGGCTCAATTCGACCGAAGTGTACGTCACATCGACGCGGGCCAATTCAACAATGATCCTAATGTGGTCATAACGGAAAATGCCCATTAATGATTCAAAGATGCAACGGCTTCCAATCAGGGAATCAAGCAAATGCTATCTTCCGATGCTTACCGACGATAAAAATACTAGTTAACGGAATCATGATCAGTGTACAGTAAGATCATGGATTATCATTTGTGTTACACATCATGATCAGCAACAAAAACGATAATCTACTGATATGATAACAATCACTTTGTAATGTATCTCAAAATCTAGGAACCTGCTGTCTTCGGAAAAGTTGTTCTAGAGGTCAAATACCCTACAATACGGATATTTTTGGAATCAGGATGACACATATATTTTGAAAATCAATATAGGTCGCCATTTTGAAATCCGTCATCTCAGCCGTTGGTTTCGAAAAAAAAACACTGTCAAATACCCTACAATATGGGTATTTCTGGAATTGGAATAATGTGTAGATGTTGAAAATCGATGTCAACCGCCATTTTGAAATCCAATTTGGCGGCCTTTGGTTTTAAATAGAACTGACTAATACACTAGTCAACATGGCGGCCGACAGAAGTTGTTTCTAAAATCAATAGCCGCCATCTTGGATTCCCAAATAGCGGCAGATATTAATTTTCTACATCTGCATGCTATCCCTGTTCCGAAAATACCCACATTGCAGGGTAATCTTGCATTTCCAAATGGTGGCGGACATCACTTTTCGACAGTTTTTCTTAAATCGATGGCCACCATCTTGGATTTCATAATGGCGGCAAACATCGATTTTCGATCTCTATACGTCATCCTCATTCCGAAAATTCACATATTATGGGATATTTGATTAGCCTTGTCTTAAATGGGGAATTTTCAGTGACGAGAGCTGATGATGATGATCTGAGATTATTGCTATTTCATATGATCATGATCTGTTACACAAATGATAATCCCATTATCGTTTCCAGAACTGTCCATTGTGATTTCTGGATTTGTACTAATCATGAGTGTAACCAAAATGAGAAAGCCATTATCTTTATCTGAATCGTTCATTTTGATTCCCTGCTTCCAATACAGAAGCGCAGGCGAAAGAGTGATGAATGGTCTCAATGCTTCGGTGTGAAAAGAAAACGGTTGCTGGAGAGTATTGGCAAGGATGATGCATGAAACAGCTTCAAAAACATGGAAAGACAGGCTTGCAGCAGATCATTTTGGTGAGATCTTTCTTTTTGTGTTAATTCAAATTTTATAACATTTTCATATAACCTTTACTTTATATTGCCGAATAGAGATTCCTAAATATATTCCATTTCCTACTAACACAAATGTTCCCTCCCGTGGCATCTATGAAGGTAGTATGGGTTCCCTGCACCTTCTTAAGTAGATGTCGGACTAATTTTCCTTCCTATCCCTTGGGATTGTAAGGATGTGGCCAGGTGTATAAATGCGATGCTTGATTTGTAGTCCCAAGTGTTTTTTTTTCACGGCAACACGATATTTTCTACAAAATGTATTGGTTGACCATTATATAGCCCCCCCCCCCTCATTTGTGCAATCGCTTATGCTTTGCTATGTAGCAGTTTCACGCGTAATTACCAGATTTGAGTCTTTCCGATTTAAATGAAACTTTGACTATGTTTTCGAGAGAGAAGAATTTAAATTTTCCTTAGATATCATAGGTATCATTTAAATAATAAAATAGCTTTTTTGCATGCAGGAGTAAACATTAACATTATTTGGAAAAGTTGTAGCAGAGCAAATTTTAAGCCTTTTTGTAATAAAAACCATTTTTTATCTTTTGAAGTGACTGATTAAGAGCAGTTTTCTTAATTGAGTTAGGGTGTTTCTAAACAAAAGATAGTTTTATTTAAATTTTCTCATCAAAGTTGTTTCCAGATAACTTTAAGAACTTTTAAAGACGTAAATTCCGGGGCTTAAAACATGTCGATGCCTTTTGCTGGTCAAGAGTGGAACAAATGTCTTTGTTACACGTTTTATTAAAAATTTCGTTCTTGTTTTTTAATTCAAGAGTCAGTATATTATCTTTGGTGTATATCGGTCTTTACACATGTTTCTTTCGTAGGTGTCCTAGTACGACACCTCGAGGTAGGAATATGTACTACAATATTTTGTACTATACCATACATAACACTCGCAAGTTGTTCATTGAATAAGCATTCAACGGTCAATTTAAAAGTATCGCAGTTGGTAGTACCACCACTTGTAGCGGAAATGTTTTAGCAACGATGTTTTACAGTGACAAATATTCAACGTGTTATGTCTGTTTGTCTGTACTATAACGTTATAGCGATAAATATAAATTTATGGACACAATTGTGTGTCAGCTGTAGCTTGTTCGAATGGAAAATTCAAACCAGAAACCAAAAATCCATCAAATCATAATTGAGGAAAAAAACATAATAGATAAACCGAAGACCATTTTTCAACCAATCAAAATTCAGCAATCAAAGAACAAAAGTAATGAGCCACATAGGAGGGTTCGAGTAAAGCCGAAAGGTCAATGAATCTGGTGTAAACCGTTATCAAAATAAGGTTGTGATAATTCAAGACCAAAGTCGTTTTGCGTTGGATAGTGCTTTTTTCCCTTGATTTGTTTTCCATCGATCTTGTTTTCCGTGCTGAGCACCAATGTTACCGACGCCAGGGAGGCAGTTCCCACACCTGGTCCTTACTAGCCATAACTTTTCATATAAAAGAGATAACAACTTAGCAAACATATGCGTAATAAGAAATTATTTAAGTGTCTAATATAAAAATTTCACTAGAAATGAATGTATAAAAAGATATTTAAAGAATGCTAATTGTCTAGGGGCCACCCCAACCTGCTTGTTTAAAAAAAATCACAACTCATGAACCATAAGAGATAGATATATGGTGCGTTTGTTTATGTGTGTGCGTGATGATGTGCTTTGGAAAAAGCATTGTGAAGCTTGCTACAGTATACACCGTAGATTACATAACTTAGAAACGGATATTTTCCAAAGAACACTTTACTTGTTATTCCTAATTTCAACATCTTTCGCAAAAAATCGCAAAACACATTATAACCTATCTGAAAGCTTACTCTTCTAGCTATCTTTTGGTTACTAAAGGATAGTGGGCGGATGTGTCCGTCATATGTTTTGCTTGGTCTAAATGTGAAAAAAAGTATATTTTTGTAAATTTTTTATTGGAAACTTTCACTAAAAACAGTGCAGACACTCTTTTGTACCGTGAATTTAACGTGAAATAAGCCGAGGAACATTTCTTCTGAAGCAACCAAGTTGATAAACACATTATTTTTTGCTATATTTGAGCAAAACAGTAACAAGAAACATAACGATTTTTTTCAAAAATTTGTGATTTCGCTACACTAAAACAACCATAACAAAATACAAAGCATTCAATTCAAGATACTCTTAACATTTAAAAATGATAAAAAATATTGAAATAAAACAATATCAACTTTAATTTGTGAGGTTTTGTCCAGCAAGGAACCACTGTGTAATGGCTTTACTTCCATTCCGAAGAAAGGCGTGATCAGAGATGTTATGCCTTAGAACATCCCGGTGGCGCCGATTGGGATCGAGCCCAGGCCTTTTGGGGTGAGAGGCAATCACGCCACTACACCACCAGCACCACTAATATAAAGTGCCTTAATAACTATAAGTTGAAATGTTTAAATCATTATTACAGTGGAATTACTCCTTACCTCTCGGTAACCATGAATCTTAAAATGAGCAACACATAAACAACATAGGCTTTTAGTCGTATCACCAGCTTGTGGCGAATCCTGACCTGATATCCTACCCAATTCTCCAACTTCGTAGCGCTTATGAGGATGTCGCAAAGTCGATGGCCTCTCGTTGAGTAAGTACTACAACAACATTGCCTTCCCTATCCAGAGTTACGGTAAAGATGGGCGTGGCTGGGAAAAGTGTTAATCGTGCTTTTGATATTCTTGCTTAAATTGGACTCAATGTTTACTCCCCAGCATTATTCTTGGAAGCAATCTGACTGAGAATTTTAAAAGAGACGTGAATGTCACTAGTATTCAATCTACGAAGTATATCGTAACAATGCTGACGCTAACGCTAAAGCTTAATCGGATTTGTTTCTTAATATGAGATAAAGCGAACTTCGGTAGGAGGAACGAGTGGTTGAAAGAAATAATATTCGAGCTTTAAGAAAAACGTGTAGATCGGAAATGTATAACATATCCATTTTAAGAGTAGTTGTTATCGGTAAGGTCACAACTGGGATCAAAATCTAGTAACAGCAAGTTGAACAGGAACTTGGTTGTCATTGTTTTGTGTAATGAAGAGCTCGGTGGCCTTGTGGCAACTGATTCTGCTTACTGATCAGATAACCATTGGTTAAATCCGAAGCTCCTTCACATTATAAAGTTATACTGTAAATCGGGTTTCTTTAAATTTTTTTTTTCACATAAGTGGGTATAACTTATTTGTAAGAAGAGAAACAGGTGATGTGAAACCCGCAAAATTTGTTTTTGGGAGGGCCACCCTAAAGACACGTTTAAACAAATGTATGAATACATTTGTATTATTATTTTGACGTTTGGTGACTTCGAAGAAATTCTTATGTATAAAAAAATCCTTATTCAATTATAATAGACGACGATCTTCAACTCTTGATCCGTCTTAAAAATGTCCGAAGGCGGCAATATCAAAGAACTCGCGATCCTGCCATGAATGTTATCTGGCGGGATTTGCAAAAGCAAATTCAAAAGCGATTCTCTGTTCTGAGGAACACAACTTTTGAAAATAATGTTTCTAAATTAGACCCGAGTTCCAAACCCTTTTGGAAACTCACAAAAATTTTGAAAAAACCTCAAAAGCCTATTCCAGCGCTTAAAGAAGGTGGTAAAATTTTGATCGCAAAT